ATTCCTGCTCTCCACCATTTTATGATCCAGCAAGGCCCTCACCATTGCTGGCCCCATGTTCTTGGACTTAGTCTCCAAAACTATGAGCCAAAAATCTTTTATTTTCTTAAATTACCTAGATTCAGATATTTCTGTTACTAGCAACAAAATGGACTAGAACCACCATTCACTTAAAATAAAACTATCTCTCTGTCCTGTTATTCTAACTTATTTTTTTTTTTACAGTGATCATTATGGCCTATCAGAATATCATATATTTGCTTATTTATTTATTCACTTATTTACTTTTTAAAGTTTTTGCCAGAGAGTGTGTACACTAAATGGAGAGAGAAAGAGAGAGACAGAGAGAGAGAGAAAGAAAGTGAGAAACCACGCTCTAGGGGGGATGGCCAGGCTGCAACCCGTTCTTCTCCATTCTCATTTTGGGATTGTGGGCACACACACACAAACACACACAGGTACCCGACATGATTTTTAAGCCACTGGGTCTAGGCCTGGAACCATGGTTGACCATGTAGGATTCCAGTGGCTTAACCACCACACCATCTCTTGGTCCCTGTTTATTTATTTTCAATTTATTTTTCTCCACTAGAATGTAATCTTCACAGAGACATAAATGGCCTGCTTGGTCATCATTATACATCAAAGGTCAAAACTCGGTCTTCATTCAAGACAGGCATTGAATAAAAATTTGCTGGCATTCAATAAAAAGAAATGGGGACAATATGAAAATATGGCACAATTTTAGTGACTACTAGGAAAAGATTTCTGATGCATACATCTCAACTAAATCTTGACTAAAGAGAGCAAAATATTATAATCCACCAACAGTGTATTTCTAAAATTTCATTTATGAATATATACATAAGATAAATTGTCATTTTTGTAATAAAAGATTTTATAAATTTTGAGATAAGAGTTAAATAAATCTAGCATTTCTTTTACCAGGAAGAGTGGCAATATAGTTTTTATTTTAAAACATTAGGTTGAAAGTGCTTGAATCTTGACTATTGCTCCTCACTAGGCACTTGAGCTAGGCAAAGGACTTATGTCTTAGTGCCTCAATCCGTACATGAGATAGATTTGTAAAAGAATACTCAATTACTTAGGAACATGAGATTTGAATGCAATTTTGTTTCAAAAACACCCGTCTTAGTTCATGGCATGTAATATCTTCCATGAATGGAGCTCTAGTTAAGAGAAACTCTTCATTTAGTAGTGGGAGGCAAGAGTAGCAGCTGAAAGGAACAGATGGAGAAAGAAAAGGAAAGAAAGGAAGAAAAGACAGGCATGGTACAAACTCAGATTTCTGATGGGTGGGTAGTCCTATTGCTGCTCTCCTTTCTGCTTGGAACAAAATGGCAAGATAATAGTATAATAAACAGAGAAAAATCAACAAAAATTACTCTATCTGAAGATGCATTTGCCTAAACATTCACATCAAGTTGCTAAGCATATAACAAATATGAGGGTACTTAAATAACAATGAGAAAATAGAATTGAAGTATGGCTTCATTTTGGTACAAGAGGAAAAAAAAGGAAACCCAGGCAGAGTTTTTTCATAATCATATTTTCCATGAAATTTTTTGGTGACCCTTCATAGATGTATAGTGTAATTTCCAGCTTTTTAGGACTGTCAAACAAAGGCAGATTTCATTGGTCATAAAGAAAAGGCAATCTGACACAGAGTAGAAGTTGTGGTCTGTGTTTGACATAGAAATACAAGGTATTGGGACCAGCAGTTAGCGTAATGGCTACATCGCTGGACTCCCATGTAGTTGACTGTGGTTCAAGTCCCAGACCCGGTGGCTTAAACTCACACCAGGCACGTGTGCGTGCATGCCCAAGATCCCGAGAGGAGATTGGAGGAGAAGGGATTGTGGCATGGCCATTCCCTCTGGGGGGTGATTTCTCGCTTTCTGTCTCTCTGTCTCTCTCTGTCTGGCGAGCGCACGTGCCTGCCCTATAGCAAAAATCTCTCCAAAAAAAAAAAAAGAAAAGAAATATAAAGGTATTATTAGAAGGGTGAATCTGTTACTGATTGAAGCATATCTTATCCTTCATAATTGGTTTCTATTATGGGTTGAAGGTTTGTCCCAAATTCATATGTTAAAATCCTAATTCCCAATGTGATGGTATTTGGAGGTAGGGCCTCTGGGAAGTCATTGGGTCATAAGGAAAGAACCCTTGCAAATGGGATTAGTGCCAGAGAGACAGGAGAGCTGCCCTCCTTCTGTGCTGTGCCTTGAGGAAATAGAAAACAAAGCATAGCTGTGAAGTGCAATTCAAAAAAAGCTGGATCTCACATGACAATCAAGATTTGACTCCCTAGCTTAGTCATCCTGAAACACACCAGGCACACATGAGCACCCAAGATCCGAAGACCTGGAAGATTAGGAATTGCAGTATGACTAGACCCTCTGGAGGGTGGTCTCTCTGTCTCTCTCTATCATATGCATGCATACACAGTTCATCACAAATAAAGAATAAAAATTTAAGAGAGAAGATGGCCACTTGCAAACCAAGTAGTGGGCTCTACCAGGCACTAAATTGCTGGCAAATGTAGTCTCTAAAAGAGTAAGAAATGAATTACTGGGGGAATAAGCCAGCTAGCCCATGGTAGATTTGTTATATTAGCTCCAACCAAGGTAGCTTCCTACCTATATTTCAAGCACATCTCTCTCTTCTACCCTAAAGAAATCTTCCATTCCAGCCCACCTCATTTCATTATCACACCAATTGGCTTGACTTCCCAAGTGAAGATGTTCCAGAACCATCAACCTTCTAAGAATCAAACTCTGTAGTCCAGGGTTTAGACATATGGATCTAGACCTTCTCATATTAGCCTTTTTTATCCTACCTCTAAAACATTCAAGGACTACCGTCTTGGGGTCAGGTGACATGGATCTTACAGCGGATATTAATAATATGATCTTATGCTGGGGGCTTTTCTCATTCAAAGCTAATATTCTTTATAAGCAAAATGAGAGACATGAGTTAGGTAATTACCACAGCTGCTCCTTCCACATTTTATGGTTCTAATTCTTACCCTAATTCTTTCAAGAATTCTAGTTCCACTAGGAATGACTACAAATGTCCTATTTCCAAACAAAAGGACAGGCGAAGGTAAGGCCAGTGGTCCTACCAGTGGCCAGTGGTGCTGTGCTGCTGAGCCTTCACAGAGTTGGGAGTTACAGATTCTAAGGGCCCAGGGTTGGGTACTTTAGAAAAGGGTTTCTAAAAAATAAGGAAAAAAGAAAAGAAAAGAAAAGGCTTTCTTACAATTGTTTTTCCACTCCTGTTGAAGGTTTGACAACCAGCAAGACAAGCTGAGGCATATGTGATTCCATTTTCACCACACATGGGTTCCCAGTTTGTCTCTGAACATTTGCATCCTGCGTTGCAATCTGAAAAGAGAGCTCGTTCATGATAAGAGACAGGTTTGGTTCTGCAAAGAAATGTAACAGTATAAAATATTACCTCTTAGCAAGAAGCACCCTAATAGTTTCAAAAATCAATGTTCTTGAGTAATATACATGCTACTGCTAACAAGCTTGCCTTTGGAAATACACTATCATCTGACCATTAAATGTTAGTCTGTGAGTAAATAGCTTTCTCTTGAAAGTTATGGTTAGAGATTTATAAATTCACAATGTCCAGTTCTTAGCCTGAAGTCTACTGCCTCTAGGATTACTGAACATATTTCTACAAAAGGGGTATGAAAATGACTACACAGATAGAAAAGTAAACCTCTAGAATAATTTAAGGCATCATGGGTGATTCTATGTGTGTGTCTGTAAATTTTTTTCAGAATTGTTGTCTGAGCATCACTTGAATAGGCATTGCTAATGGGGTGGTGAAAGGAAACACAGTGAGGCAGGTGACATTTAATACTCGTTCTGTGTCCGTGGGAGCTACATACCCTGCTAGCACAGGTCTCACCAATAATTGCATTACCAGTTCATCTCACACTCTAGTGTATCCTCCCAATATGGACCTTTTCTAAATCTTATATCATCCTTTTTTACTCATGTTTTTATGCTGTTTCAATGACTTGCCTATTCACTTATTTATAGAATTGTGCTGAAGGCCCATCTGTGGTGGCACAAGTGGTAGGGCACTGATGCACGAGGCAGAGGTCACCCAGGAGGTCCGAATTCAGTTTCCAGACCAACATGAGACAGGCCGGGCATGGTAGCACACACCTGTCATCCTAGCTAACTGGGAGACTGGGGTAGGAGGATTGCAACATGGCAAGATCTTGTCCAAAAATATACCTGTCTCTGTGTCTCTCTTCTCCTTCTAATTAAAAAAAAATATCAGAAACCTATTTAGTGCTAGCTAAGGAAGCTGTGAGGATGGAACATAGCTACAGATATGAATGAAATAGTATTTTCCCTCAAGAAGATGTCTCTTTTTTTCAATAGTTACATAATTTTGACTGTTTTCTACCTTCTATCTCTTTGGTTCTCTCTAATTCTTATATTTCCCCCTTCATTTCTCTCAGACTTTCCTCTCCCTCATTTCTCCCTCGTTGACTAATGCTTCTATGTATCCACTCTTCATACCCCTCTGTTTCTGAAAAGGAGAACAAATGTAGTTGTATCACTTCTATCTGCTCCATGTACTCGATCCATCGGCCTTCCATAATCCACATTTTTTTCCTCCACTATGAATTTATTCTTTACATATTTTGCCCCTCTTATTATTTATTTATTTATTTATTTTTAACAAAGACATTTGAGGAATGTGGAACGAACAAACAAAGCATGCACAGGAATGTTTTCTCCAATAGGTGCAGAACTATTCGATTCTCTCTTTATCTCTAGTACCAAGAACAATTCTTGGCACATAGTAGTCTAAGAAATCAAATATCTAACAATTCAGTCAGACAAAAAAAAATGGTGTTTTCTTTGTCAAAAAGCATCAGTCATTTTGGTTTCTGCCTCTGAGAAGTATTTTCTATAATTATTGCAATCAAAATCTTTTTTAAAAATTGTGGGACCAGCAGTTGGCGTAATGGTTATACTACTGGACTCTCACTTGGTAGACCGTGCTTCAAGTCCTGGACCTGGCAGCTTCAAACTCACAGCAGGTGCGCATGTGCCCAAAATCCTGAGAAGAGAATGGAGGGGAAGGGATTGTGGCATGGGCATTCACCCTGTGGGGTGATTTCTCGCTTTTTGTCTCTCTGTCTTTCTCTGTCTTTCAGGTGAGTGCATGCGCCTTATAGCAAAAATCTCTCTTTGGAAAAAAAAATGTTTGCAGGGCCAGCAGGTAATGTAGTGGTTACATTGCTAAACTCCCATGTGGCTAACTGCAGTTTGAGTCCCAGACCCAGTGGCTTGAAAATCATGCTGGACGCTTGTGTGTGCATGCCCAAAATCCTGAAAGGAGGATGAAAGGAGACTGCTGTGTGGTCATCCCCCCGGGGGATAATTTCTGATGTTCTTTGTCTCTGTGTCTCTCTTTCTGGTGAGCACATGTACCCTATGGCAAAAGCCTTAATATGTGAGCTCTTTAAAGAGAAACAGAGGGGAGAGAGAGAAGGAGAGAGAAAGTTAGAAATGCTCTTCATTGGGGATGGTTATATCACCATCTCTTCATTATTTTCTCTTGAGATTTTGGGCATGCACATGCACCCAGTATATTTTTTCAAGCCACCAGCTAGCTATAAATTCTTAATTGATTTAATATTCCATTTAGAGGAACTGCTATGGATTTGGTCACTTCAAAAGTAAAAACGAGACTTCTGACATGTCTTCGAACAGAGCCAATGGATGTTTGATTGAGGTCACCTGAAAAGTCCTCCAGGAATGATTCATCTCTTCTTTTCTACAAAGTATGAATTGTTAATTATTTGGCAGTATCTGAGTGCCTAGAACCAGGTCCCTATGGATACGGTAGAACCGAGATCACAGAAGTGAGGAGCTGGAAGGGAACTTGGGATGAGCCAAAGCAACCTCTCATTTAGCAAATCGGGATAATAAGGTCCAAGGTGGGCAAATTAACTTGCTCAAATCCACACATTGTGTTGGATTTGTGGCAAATCTGAAAGTAGAGCCCTCTCAAGCCTTTTGATTCTAAATTCTTACATTCTTATTTCACGTCAGAGTTATTCATATTATGGAAGAAGGGTTTCTTTCAATACCATACATTTAGGGGACACAAAAATAAAATAAAAAATCTGTTGATAATATGGGCAGTAATATCTTTGGTTGGACCAATATAAAATATATTCAGGATAAGAAGATCATTTTGTATGCTGTAATGACACACAGCGATTAAATGTAAAGAGGAGGAAAAAAAAAAAAGTGCCTGTCTACAATGTTCCTGCTGAATGCCCAGAAAGGAAACAGTATTTTGGAACAAAGCAACATGGGAAAATCCATGGGAGCATTCTGTATTTTATAAAGCCAATTATTTTACATTAATGAAAGTAAGTTTAGCATCTAAGGCAGAAATTAATTGTATATACGTGCTATGTAGGATGTACTGACAGTGAAGTGTGGTTCTAAATTTTAAGGTTTTTTTGTCTTATTTTTTTTTAAGGTTTTAGGGCACATGCATTTGATGGAGAGAGACAAGTAGAGACAGAAAGAGAGGGAAAGTGAGAAATCATTCCCCTCACCCACAATCTCTTCTCCATTTTCCTCTTGGGATTTTGGGCACACATGCACACATGCCCAGCATGGTTTTCAAGCCATGAGGTCAGGAACTCTAATCATGGTTGTCATGTGGAAATCCAGCACCTTAATCATCATGCCACCTGCTGGCTCCAAGAAAAGTCTTTAAAAATATGCCAGAATGTGTATACCAAATGCTAGTTTCTGTCAAAATAATTATGCTGAGAGGTGAGAAATGTTCCATGATATTGCCATTTTTTAAGTTTATTTTTAATACATTTTTTTCATGACAAGGGAGACAGAACAAGAGAAAAATTCACCTGCAGTAGGGCCTTTATGCTGTGATCCTAATGCCAGCCTCAGCCAGCCTGGATCAAGGACAGCCTGGAACACGAACTCCCCTTGGGATGCAAACCTGGGACCCTTCCATATAACCTGAGTATCACAAAATATTGCCTTACTACTGCACCACATCAGTTAGCAAATACTGCCATTGATTTTTACTGCTTCTAATAGCAAAGTTATTCTTAATGTTAAATCTTTGTCCCTGTTGATGATATTCTAAAGAATATAGAAAGAAATTTCAAAACAAGAGTTTTAGGATGTCTTAAACAATGACAGTATTATTGCTATGAAATTATAGTCTACAAGGTACTATTTTGAAGAGGCTAGTAGTCAACAAATATAATATATTGTCTTAATGTTGACTACATTGTCTTAATGTTTACAATATATTGTCTAAATGTTCAAAAACATTTAATGTTTTATTGTGAGCATATTAGTTTGCTATAAGGCACATTGCTCATTGAAGAAAGAGAGAGAGAGGAGAGAAAGAGAATGAGAGAAATCATTTCCCCAGAGGGAATGGTCACATTGCAATCTCTTCTCTTCCACTCTCTTTTCTGGACTTTGGGCTTGTACACTTGCCTGGTTTGATTTTTGAGTGGCTTAAACCATGCAATCAGCCTTGTGGGACCCAGCAGCTTAACCACTATGCCTCCTGCTGGGTCATAAGTTTATTTTAATTGGGAATCCCAAAATGTTACTGTTCATGTCTATATGTTTGCTTTGGCCTAGAAACAGTATGATGTTACAGAAAGAATTTAATGCTGTGAGTCATACCTGTGTTTAAGCTCCAGTCTGTCTTGTATAGTCATTGAAGTTTGGGGAAGCTAATTAACTTTTTAAACTCAATTCTCTTTAAATAAGGATAACAACACTTCCTCATGAAAGCGTTTTCTTGATACAAGTGAGGTACTTCAAGTTAAGGTGCTTTAGAACTTGCAGAATATAAGGTTCTCTACCACTTTTCACCTACTGTGAAATCATAGGGAGGGTTAAACATGGTGCAAGGTGGGACTCCTCATGGTGTAATGGTTATGTTACTGGATTCCCACATAGTCGACTGCAGCTCGAGTCCCAAACCCAGCGGGTTAAAACTCATGCCAGGTGTATGTGTGTATGTGCCCCAAATCCTCAGAGGAGAATGGAGGAGAAGAGATTGTGGTGTGGCCATTCCCCCAGGAGGTGATTTCTCATTTTCTGTCTCTCTGTCTCTCTAGTAAGTCTATGTACCCTATAGCAAAAATAACTCTAATTTTTTTTTTAAAGGCACAAGGCTTCTAATGTGTCTAGAATTTTATAATTCAAGCTTATGATTACCATTCTTATACATTGCTGGCTTTTATAGGATGACATGGCCCTTAGTTGAGTCTAACAATGTTGTTGCCATGACTCCCAGAAGCTGTAATTTATGAACTTTATATTATCTCATTTTTCTAAATATTTTAAATGTCAAAAATTATAATTGTAGTTATTGGAGCTCACTTAGCATCAAAAGCAGCCAGAGAAATGAAGGTGATAGAGGTGAGAACACAGAGATGAGACAGGTGGATAGGAGGGAAGGAAACAGAAAAGGGCTAGAGAATAGGCAGTAAGCAGGAAACCTGTGAACAGCAGGGGGCGGGAGGGAGGAACAGGAGTATTTGCCTTTGAGCCATAAGCACCAGCAGGTGGAGTGGTGGTTAAGGTGCTGGATGCTCCCACAGGGCCGACAACGGTTCGAGTCCCGGACCTGGTGGCTTCCTTTCTCACTTTCCCTCTCTCTCTTTCCTCCTCTGTGTCACTCTTTGGTCAAATTAAAATAAATGAGTGAATAAATAAAATTACATAATTAATTAAAAAAAAAGAAGATCAGGCAGACACAATCAGGGGGATTTTCCTGGCACATAGTTGAGACTCGACAATTATTTTAAGGACAAATAATGCACAGCTGGCTGAAAGGATGAAGAAAGTCATCTCTGGGATCTAGCGTTCAGAGTTAGAGCGATGAGAAGCACTCTAGATGGGGGAAGGCTTTACTTCCTCCAAGATCAGCCTTACATTAGGAGAGACATTCCAAAGCCAAGCAATCTCTCCCTCACTGCTCCAGGAGGACCTAGGTCTGAGAGCATCAACACGTGTTCTCTTGGCCAATGACAATCCACCCAGCTAAAGAGAGCTTTAGTGGGGGGTCACTGGGTTGACGTGTAGCCATTCTTTCCTGAAACATCCCATGATTCAAGTACCACAGAGACTTCTGCAATTATCCAGGTGTCCACAGGGGGAAAAAATAGAACTGTTTCTAGGAATGGCACATCCGTGTGATGTCAGAAAAGTGCAAATCACTATCATGCACATTATCTTGCTTATGGTTTCCAGAACCTTAAAGGATTTTTTTCCCCTGCCTTTTATGGAACAGAGGGGTTGAGAGTGGATTGGTTTAAACAACTCAAGTAATGCCATTTTACAAAGAATAGGCAGAGAGGAGACTCAAGGTCTGTATTTCCATTACCAAGTTGCTTCTCCAAACTAATCAGGCTGACTTCTAACATAAGATGTGGGCTTACTATTTTCTGTTTCTCTAAGACATTGAAATCCAAAAAAGATGACACATTTTGGGGACAATAACAGATTCTTAAGTCACAAATTTGACAGCTAATTTATAATAAAATAATTATTCCCTTCCACAGTTACAATGTTTAAAACACAAACTATCTTATGTTGGAACTATAGTAACAATTAATTTAAACTTATCTCCTGAAAGCATTTAATAAAGGAACATACCCTTGATAGGAGATGGTTAGTCCTGCCACGTCAGAATTTTCACAGCCCAGTGCAAACAGGGAAAGGAACAGGAGGTAACCAAAGACAGAAGATCCCAAGTAGAGTTTGGCAGCTCCACACACACCAATTCTGAATTTTTTCATAACTATTCCCCCAGAGAATATTCCAAGGGCCACTGCAGGTATGTTGATGAGCCCTGGGGAGCAAGAAAAAATACATCATTTTGTAAATCTCTCTAAAAAAAAATACACACTTTCTAAGCGATTATGTAAAACTATGCAACAGTCCCCAGTATGTTAGACTATCTTGTCATTTTATTATTTTTTTTAAGTTTTGTTTTGCCAAAGGGCGTGTGTGCTCACAAAAGAGAGAGAAAGAGACAGGAGAGGGAAAAGGAGAAATCACCCCCCACCAGTGGATGACCATGCCACAATCCTTTCTTAATTCTCCTCCTAGGATTTTGGGCATGCAAGGTACACATACCAGGTGTGAATTTCAAGCTGCCAAGTCCAGGACTCGAACTACAGTTAGCCATGTGGGAACCCAGCACTTTAACCACTACGTCATCTGCTGTCCCCTGTCTTGTCACTTTGAAAATATTGATATATATAGTTACAGGGCCAGCAGGTGACTGGACAGGTGCTGGACACTCACATGGTCAACTGCAGTTAAACTCCCAGACCCAGTGGCTTGAAACTCATGCTTGGTATGTGTGTATGTGTGTGCATGCCCAAAATCCTGAGAAGAGAATGGAGGAGAAGGGATTGCAGCATGGCATCCCCCCTGGGGAGTAATTTCTTGCTTTCTGTTTCTCTATGTCTCCAGTGAGCACATGCACTGTATAGCAAAAATCTCTCTCAAAAATGAAAGAAAGAAAGAGAGAAAGAAGAAAGAGAAAGAAAAAAAGAGAAAGAAAGACAAAGAAAGAAGAAAGGAAAAAAAAAAGAAAAAAGAAAGAGAAAGAAAGAAAAATACAGTTACTGTTATCTACAAGACATCTACCAAAAACTTTTTATGAGTATCTAGGCTATGGATTAATGATAGCACAACTGCACAATTTCAGAGTCCTACCTACAAAAGCGTGGGCTCTAGAGACCCATCTGCCTGGATCTGGACCTCTGTTCTACCATTTAATAGCTGTGCAAGTGCAAGTAGTTCTCTAAATGTTTCTAAATATAATAAGGAACTAAGTTCACTGTTATTTAAAGGATTCAATGACATTATTCATGAAAAAATATTAGCATTGGGAACCAGCAGTTAGCGTAATGGCTATGTCGCTGGACTCCCACATAGTCGACCGTGGTTTGCATCCCAGACCCGGTGGCTTAAAACTCACGCTGGGCGCGTGTGCGTGTGTGCCCAAGATCCTGAGAGGAGAATGGAGGAGAAGGGATTGCAGCATGGCCATCCTCCCGGGGGGTGATTTCTTGCTTTCTGTCTCTGTCTCTCTCTGTCTGTTGAGCACACGTGTCCTATAGGAAAAAAAAAAAAAAGAAAACAGAAAAAATATTAGCACAATATCTGGCCCAGAAATATCACTTATTTAGTGTCTTTCTATCAGATTTACAAAGTTGAAAATATTGGTAGGGTGGGGAAGTGAAACTGTGTTGGAAGACTCAGGGAGAAAGCTCTTTGGAGAGCTGTCAGTTGAATTGTAAATTCTATAACTCTAGAGAAGAATAATCTGGCACTCAACAATAAACAACTTCTCTGCTAATTACATTTCAGTTCTTTATTGTCTACTCATCAATCACTGATGTCCATGTTATCTTGAGGTTTTGAGATAATGAATTCTTTAAAAAATAACAAAAGGTCTAAAGTCAAAGTAAAGTTTGTATAGACAAAGTTCAAATACAAACTCTGCATTTTCTATAGTAAACAATAATCTCGAGTATTCAGATCTCTGACTTGCATCCCAATATAAAATTATTAAGAATAACTCTGACATCTAGTGATGAGATGCACATTTCTTTCTTTCGTTCTTCCAACCTTCCATTGTCTTTCCTTTTAAAATTTACGTACCTAGTATCTTAACTTATTTTTGTTGTTAGGTTTTTGCTATGGTGCACATACACTCGCTGGAGAAAGAAAGCCAGAGACAGCGAGAGGGAAAGTAAGAAATCACACTTTCGAGGGGATGGTCACACCACAATTCCTTCTCCTAGTGGTTTGGGCATGTACACTCACATGCCCAGTTTTTAGGTTGTGAAGTCCAGGACTTGAACCTTGGCCAATCATGTGGGGGCCCCCAGTGCCTTAACCACCATGCCACTTGCTCACCCCCTAACTAACCTTCATAGAATTCAAAATACGAAATCTATGTCTTTGACTTATTATTAATTACTTTATTTTAAAATAAATTTCACCATGTGTGGATAGATGATAACAAAAACACACCAAGCATGCAAGTACGCAAGATCCGATAGGCTGGAGGACTGGAGGATGGTGGTTGCAGGGTGACCAGATGCCATGGAGGGTGCTCATATCTCTCTCATTCTCATGTGTGTGCACACATGCTCTATCATGAATAAAGAAAAGATGACTTTTGGGTCCAGCAGTTAGCGTCATGGCTATGTCGCTGGACTCCCACGTAGTCGACCGCTGCTTGCGTCCCGGACCGGGCGGCTTAAAACTCACGCCGGGCACATGTGTGTGCGTGCCCAAGATCCCGAGAGGAGAATGGAGGAGAAGGGATTGCGGCGTGGCCATCCCCCCTGGGGGGTGATTTCTCGCTTTCTATCTCTCTGTCTCTCTGTCCAGTGAGCGCACGCACCCTATAGCAAAAACCTCTCCAAGAAAAAAAGAAAAGATGATTTTTTAAATCAGAAATATCCTCTCTCAACTTACCTCCTTTTAAAAGTCTGTGTTCTCTTGAAACTTACAGAATGTTTCCTGTGTTCTTTTCCCTCCAGACCCTCTTGCATGAGACATTTGCTTTGTCTGACACAATGTCCTCCCATACCCCACTCCAGTCCCATACATTTTCTAATTGCCAGTAAACATGCTCACTAGAAAGAGACACAGAGACAGAGAAGGAGGGAGAAAGCATTCCTCACTGCCCATAAGGCATGGTCATACTGCAATTCCTTCTCTTCCATTCCCACCTATTGGGATTCTAGGCACCCTTGCACTCATACCAGCATGTTTTCAAACCTCTGGAGCCATGATGCAAACCACAGCTGGCCTTGTGAGATCCTGCTCCCTTAGCCACTGCGGTACAGGGCCAGCCCTATGTATTTCCTTTTGAACTCAATTGAATATTTATGGAAATACATAAATCTAAGGAAAGCTAAGAACATTTTAAGAGGTAATTTATTATTGTATTTGTTATTGTTATTATTTATTTATTTATTGGAGAGGTTTTTGCTATAGGGCACGTACACTCTCCAGAAAGACAGAAAGAGACAGAGAGACAGAAAGCGAGAAATCACCTCCCAGGGGGGATGGCCACACCGCAATCCCTTCTCCTCCATTCTCCTCTCAGGATCTTGGGCACGCATGCGCACGCGCCCTGCGGTGAGTTTAAGCCGCCGGGTCTGGGACTCGAACTGTGGTCGACTACATGGGAGTCCAGCAACATAGCCATTATGCTAACTGCTGGTACCAATTATTGTATTTATTATTAATTATTACTGTTTCAGTGCACTTATTTAGATGAAATATTCTCCTTTGTTACTCACTGATACAAAAAAGGAGTTATGAGGACTGTGTAAAATATTTAAAGGCCATCAGCATAACTACAGTATAAGCCAGAACTCTAATTCCCATACATATGTCATAGGATGAAAAATATAAAACTAAACTGTGGGAGGCTTTGGATCTTTTCTCTCAGTGAAATAAAAGTTCATGTTATATAATGCGCTTTAATAATATTACTCTAATTTTGAAAGAAATAAGCAATAAGATCTAAATTTCACAGAGAAAGAAACAGAAAAAATATGTTCATATTTCTATAGGCAAAATGTTCAAGGAAGTAAAATGAATCATCTCCTTTTTTTTTTTTTTTTGGAGAGGTTTTCGCTATAGGGCGCGTGCGCTCGCCCTGGCAGAGAGAGACATAGAGACAGAAAGCAAGAAACCCCCCCCCCCCGGGGGGGATGGTCACACCACAATCCCTTCTCTTCCATTCTCCTCTCGGGATCTTGGGCACGCATGCACACGTGCCCGGCGTGAGTTCTAAGCCACCAGGTCCAGGACGCGAACTCAGTCGACTATGTGGGTGTCCAGCGACATAACCATTACGCTAACTGCTGGTTCCCTAAAATGAATCATCTTTATTGGGCATAAAATTTTTTTCACACAAATTGAGATTATATTCTACCATATCGAAGATTTTTACTGCAACTTAACATAATTCTAGCATGTTATAACACAATTATTAAACTTGTTGATTTAACAAAGATAACATTGTTTTCTTTCATAAGCATCTTTCTACAATTCTCTTAATTTTCCCATATTTGTCTCTGAAACATCTCCAAGAATTGAGAATGCTCATTACTGACATCAGTGATAGCTAATGTATCTAGTCTACCAGACCCTGTCTTATTTATTTAAAAAGTCCCAAGGAATTAAGCAAAAAATGATTGAATAATTGCAGTCTTTGTATTGACAAGGAAAAGAAAAGATGGGATTACTTGTACATTATTTAATATGGGTAGGAGAAGCTTTAATAGAAAGATCAGCTCTCTGTCCAAACCTATTTCTATAGAAATTGCAATGAAAATGTTAAAAATAGCCTCCAATTGGGGCCAGCAGGTAGCATCGTGGGTAAGGTGCTGGATTCTCACATGGCTGAGGTTTCCTTCACAGACCCTATAGCTTGAGGGTCACACCCACACATATGCGTGTGCATCCAGGGTCCCAAAAGGAGAATGAAGGAGAAAAGATTGCAGTGTGACTGTCCTCCCTAGGGGTAGTTTCTCAGTTTCTCTCTCATTGTCGCTGACTCTCCAAGGAGCCTATGTACCGCATGGCAAAAAAAAAAAAAAAAAGACCACAGTCATGCAAAAGCAAAATCATTTTTTCATATACTTCCTATTTCTTGAATTTGAAATATTTCTGTTGTTTATTTTTCTTTACTCTTACAGTAATTGACATGAGAAAAATGCCCTTTAATATGAAGGGAGATTTCTGTTTATGCTTCCCTCCATATAATGCTAAATGTCTTCTCTGAGAGTAGAAGGAAAATGTGTCCTTTTTGTGGCCCTCTCAAATTTTACCACAGGAAAATTATTCTCTTATAGCCCAAATTGAAAAGTGAAGAAAAGAAAGAGTAATAGCAGGCAAGAAGAAAAATGAGAAAATAGTATTTGTTGAATGACAGCTATATGTGTTTACTACCTATGTTATATTTCTTTCGTTTTTACTTCAACCTAGTGATGTATTTATTTTCACCATTGCACTGAGAAGCAAAATGTGTCAGATATTAAATAATTTGTCCTTTACTCTTTCTCTACCACATCCCATACTTATTCATGTGAAAGAATCCTAGTTAAAATACCAACGGCATGGAATTATTAACCACCACTACTTATCTCTCATAAAAGTATTTTAATTAATCTGTAAACATGACATGTCAGACTATAAATAATAAAGAGTTTAGATAACCCTTGACACAATAGTTTGTTTACATTCCAGAGTCCATTTGAATTTAAAGAGACAGGTAGTAGATGAAAATAAATTGATAAGTCACAATTTAAAAGATAATTATTAGTTTGATCCTTCTTGTCACTTTTCTAAAAGCAGTAACACCCAATGAAGGAATATAACTCAAAAATTCAGAGGAAACACTCCTGTCCCCATCTACATTACGACGTGCGTATATATGATACTTATTGTGACATCTGGCCGGGCACTGACCCTCTCAGACCTTTAAGTTCTTTCTTCCTTTTCTTAAAGAGAGATTTTTGCTATGGGCACATGCACTTGCCAGAGAGACAGAAAGCAAGAAATCAGTCTCCAGAGGGGATGGACACACCTCAATCCCTTCTCCATTCTCCTCTCGGGATCTTGGGCATGCACACACACCTAGAGTGATGTTTAAGCCACTGGGTCAGGGACTTGAATCACAGTTGACCACGTGAGAGTATAGCAATGTAACCATAGGTGATCAGCTGGTCCCTAGGTTCTTTCATCTGTGCTAATGCTCTTTAAACATAATTTTATAGGCAAGAGTATTTCAATTATTATCTTTCCAATAAGGAAATACAATTATACACAATCTCACTTTCTATTATAAGCACTTCCCCCTAGACAATGATGTAGGTTTTCTTTATTTATTTTTAATGAAACTAACTTTGTGATTTGAAATAAAAATCTTATTTCTTATTCCAATAAGAACAAAGTGAGATGCCCCCAAATCTGAAAGTGTTATGCATATGCTGAAAAATGAGAAATAAGCATATATTTAAAAATGTATTCCTTCACTGCAATTTATGGGGAAAATACGGTCTTTTCATTTGGTTAAATGAACTTTGATTTTTTTCCTTCATGTTATACAAAAATTGCTTCTTTTAATTGCCAAAGGGCATGTGCACTAATGAGAGAGAGAGAGAGAGAGAGAGAGAGAAAGCACTCTCAAATGGGAAATGGTCATACTGCAATCTCTTCCCCATTTTTCTATCCTGTTGGGATTTGGGGTATACAAACATATACACACAGCATGTTTTTCAAGTCACCAGAGCCAGGACTTGAACTTTACAGATACACATAAGGGACTGAGATCTCTTAACCTCTTAACTATGGGGTCATATCCAAAAATCATTTTGAAATAGATTACAACCTAAATATGAAAGCTAAAACAATTAATCTTTTAACATAGATATTAGGAAAATATTTTAATGACCCTAGGGTTTGACAAAAACTTCTTTAAAAAAGAATCAAAATAACACTAATTAAAAAAATAGATTGAAAATTAGACTTAATTAAAATTAAGAAGCTCATTAATAGGAGAATGAAAATATAATTTAAAGTTTGTGAGAAAATATTTGTAATACATATATTGAATAAATAGCTTAAATTAAAAAAATACATTGTACTCTATGAATCAATAAGGAAAAGACTGACAAAACAATAAAGATAAGTCAATTTCTTCAACAGAATTTGAAAAAGAGAATGTTTAAATGACTCTCGAGCCTATGAAAAAGTGCTCAAAATCCATAATCATCAGATAAATACAAGTTAATGAGAAACTACCTTCATATCCCAAAAGAATTGTTACAATGTCAGCAAATATTGATTGTAAATTAGATCTAAATAAACATATAAGAAGCTAAAAATGAAGTGAAAATGTCCCTCAGACATTTATTCCTGATCTTTTCTCCTTTAACAATATAAAATATTGATTGACATGGATGTGGTCTTGAAAAAAAACTAAAATATTTCTTTAGGTAAACCATCAAGTAATAAAAGTTGAATTAATTTGAACCAATTAGTGCTGAGAGAAAAACAAAACAAAACAAAACACTAACAAACAAACAAAAAAAAACAAAATCAGTGTCCTAACCTTGATGTCTTGATAGAATTTTGAAGAATAGTCTAACCAGAGTCAATTATAGAGGGGACAGCCCTGTAGCACAGTGGTGAAGCATTGTGCAGAGGAAACCACACCTCACATGGCCAACTGAGGTTCAAATCTTGGCCTTAGTGGCAACATGGCAAACATGTGTGTATGCCCAGGATCCTTATGGGATGGAGGAATGGAGGAAGAAGGATTACAGCGTGACCAGGCCATGTTGAGAGAGTTTTCACTTCTTATTTCTTCCTCTCTTCCTCTTTCACACATGTATGTGCAAACATGCTCTATAAAATAAAAGAAGAGGAAAAAAACTACTTTATTAGAACCTGATCAGTGCCCATTATGCAGGATTATTATAGAAAAATAATGTCTCTTAATATGCTCAGTTGTTTTTTTCCCCTGCTCTCTTTAAGAGAGAGATCACAGAGTGATTTTCAAAATATTTTATGAAGAAGAAATGATTTCTAATCACTGGAGTCTCTCATCAAAAGAAAACATGTCCAAAGGAATAGAATATATTATACTTTATGCTTTGAAACAATAACATTAAATGACTTCATGGATAAAGGAACTAGTCTAAGTTTTAGAAGGATCCAATTATTTCCAGGGTGGTGGCGTCTATTTATAGATTCTGGTTTCTATTTATTCCTCTCTTTATGCTTTCCTTCACTCTTGAATATAGTTCTCCTATGAATTATGTAGCTGTGCTAGAAACATGATCTTGTTTTGAAATAAGTGAATTGCCACGAATCAGAAAAGTCTTTTGCCTCTCAACAAATAACAAGTTTCACTTGTGATGAACACCTTCTAACCTGGCTTACATAGCCATTTTATATAACTCCAGAAATGTTCGTATAAAATAGCCACTGCTCATATAAAATAGCTCCACTCGAAAAACAAATATCTAGTACTAACAATCTCCTAATAAAATGCATGTTTGGCCCATATATCACTTCTTCAAGATCTGCTTACTCTCTGGGTTAGGCACCCATCGTTACAAATAATGTTTGCTACAGAGTGGAACCACAGACTAAATATTTGAGTCTGCTAGATTTTTTCTTTTACTTTTTGATGTCCCGAACATGCCCTAAATGGTCTATGTCCTACATATCAGAACAATCTTCTCTAGGATTGCTAAGAGTTAACAAGGTGCATCTAAGCACCTGTGGGAAGCAAGAGGACCCATAGGCATACCGATAACAAAGTTGGCCTTGGAGGATGACTGGCCATACTGCTGTTCAATGTACTTGGGTTTGTACGTCACCATGCCAAATAAGGAATTGAACTGAATGGTGCTTGCACACAGATACAGGAGGTACACTGGATTTCCAAAAAGATTCTTCAGTGATGGAAGGAAATCTGGAAGATGGAAAAGACATGGAGCAAATAAAGAGAGGGTTGCACTTGATAGAAGACACAACTATGGCAGCAAGCCTTAGGAGGCTGAGTCCCACTGTCAGTGTTGTGTGTCACGGTGCACACACACACGAAGTGTATTACACCACTGGTACAAAGCAGACTGCAATCTGGTCAAGTTCAGATCCAGGCATAGGCTCTCGCTTCTACAGGCATACGGTAAAGACTACATTAGAGATGGAAGTCCAGCAGAAGCAGATTTTTTTTATCTGACATGGGCAAAGAACAAAAGGGATGAGAATACTGCTCACCACGCAGCTAGGAGCCACAGGCAGAATATCAAATCTGCAGTTCTGGGAACCAGCAGTTAGCATAATGGCTATGTTGCTGGACTCCCACGTAGTTGACCGTGGTTCATGTCCCGGACCCGGTGGCTTAAAACTCATGCCGGGCACGTGTGCGTGCGTGCCCAAGATCCTGAGAGGAGAATGGAGGAGAAGGGATTGCGGCGTGACCCTCCCCCCTGGGGGGGTGATTTCTCGCTTTCTGTCACTATGTCTCTCTCTGTCTGGAGAGCACACGCGCCCTATAGCGAAAACCTCTCAAAAAAAAAAAAAAATCTGCAGTTCTTTGTTTTCTGTTTTTAAAACTTGGGTCACAGTCACAAGGAAAGAAATATAAAATTTATCTCCATTTAACACATGAAATTTAGTGTTAGAAATAATCTCCTACGTCCTCCCTCATTTCTTTAAGGCAGCCAACCAGTTAGAAATGTGAACTTCAGTACATGTAAATATTGCTTGCTTGTCAGGGGGAGGGAGGTGGTAATGATCTCACGATTGTTCACTTTCCGTGGAGTGAATTCATTAGTTCTAATGATTTTCTGGACTTTTCCCACATCACACTCACTCCTAGGACCTGGGTGGGGAGATATGCACTGGAACACATTTCTCATAGGGGAGGAGCTCATCTGGTAAGATACAATATGCTCTGAAGAGTCACTTTCTTTTCTGTCCACCCAGACTTAACATGAAGCAGCAATCCCTGGTAGAGAGCTGCAGGATCTACTCGAGAGTGTGTGACAGAGAGGGAGGAGGTGTCAATAAGGAAAGGTATCAGAGTTTTTAGTGCTTTCTGTCACTATGTCTCTCTCTGTCTGGAGAGCACACGCGCCCTATAGCGAAAACCTCTCAAAAAAAAAAAAATCTGCAGTTCTTTGTTTTCTGTTTTTAAAACTTGGGTCACAGTCACAAGGAAAGAAATATAAAATTTATCTCCATTTAACACATGAAATTTAGTGTTAGAAATAATCTCCTACGTCCTCCCTCATTTCTTTAAGGCAGCCAACCAGTTAGAAATGTGAACTTCAGTACATGTAAATATTGCTTGCTTGTCAGGGGGAGGGAGGTGGTAATGATCTCACGATTGTTCACTTTCCGTGGAGTGAATTCATTAGTTCTAATGATTTTCTGGACTTTTCCCACATCACACTCACTCCTAGGACCTGGGTGGGGAGATATGCACTGGAACACATTTCTCATAGGGGAGGAGCTCATCTGGTAAGATACAATATGCTCTGAAGAGTCACTTTCTTTTCTGTCCACCCAGACTTAACATGAAGCAGCAATCCCTGGTAGAGAGCTGCAGGATCTACTCGAGAGTGTGTGACAGAGAGGGAGGAGGTGTCAATAAGGAAAGGTATCAGAGTTTTTAGTCATGTGCTTCAATCCTTTTTCCAGTAAAAATGTTGACATCATTGCCATTCCCTGGTTTCTTGATTTTTTCTTTTTTTTGATCACATAATGGGAAGAGAAGGATATTATTCATAAATCCCCTACACTCCCAACAGGAACATCTGCAAGCACTTCAAAACCAAAGAGATTCTGACTTACCTCTTACCATCTCCATTATTTTTACTTTTTCTCCATGAGGTGTTTGGAACTCTTTGTGTTCATCTATAATAAACTTGGCTTTCTCAGAGGAGTAATCAGAACCCTCTCCACTTTGGGGCCTCGGTAGACTCTTTGGTAAGCACCAGAAAGGCACAGCTGCCAGAAGACTTATGATTCCTGCTATTAGGTACCCAAGCCACCAGGCACCTACCCACTGGGGATCCTTTGGGGTAATGTTTATGTGATCTGAAAGGCAGAGAAGATGGCTAAGTTTCATATGCCATAATACTGGTATATGGAAATAAGTCACTTAAAAGCACTAGCTCCATTACTTCACAAAAATTCTCGTAATTCATACATGATTACTTTACTAATCTGGACATTATCATTATATTGCTTGTTTAATGAAAGAAATGATTCCAGAACATGGTTCCTCCTTTTGTTCCTTAGGTTAAAGGTATAGAGTCTAGGGCTGGTGCAGAATCTTGCCTGTGGTGCAATAATTCTCAAACAGTAGCTAGATCCCACCTGGTGACTGCAATTTGAACCCCTGAGCCAGTTGGCCTGAGGCACGTCAAGCATTCACTCAAGTGCCTAAGATCCAAAGAGCTGACAGACAGAAGAAGGGGCTTGTGCCATGATCTCTCTCTCTTTCTCTCATGCATGTGCATATGCTCTATAATGAATAAAATAAATAAATAATAAAAAGTATAGAGTCTCCATTCTGGAAGAGGCTTCATGACTTTCAAACTTGCTCTGGCATTCTGCAGAGGAGCCCCTGGCAAAAGGAAAGCAACAGGTGAGGGAGAATTATGAGGGCTCAAATCATCAAATGCCAGCTACTCCAGGTCAATGTCACTTTCTCTGATTAAGTATCAGATGTCTGTCCAAGATTTTACTCAAGGAAAGGGTTAGACCCTGCACCTTCCAGTTCAAGTCCAGTATAAACCGCTCATCACTCAGGTGGTAAATGTACTTTTCTTTAGTCACAGCAGAGCACAGGTGTGTACTCACAAGAGAGTAAGAGAAATAGGATGGAGGGCACCCTCCACAGGTGTGGACATTCATGACCTCTTCCTCCAATTCCCCAGCCTGTGGGCTTTGAGCACCTCACACATGCCCTGTTTCAGGCTAACCAGGTCAGAGATTCAAATCTCAGTCCCACGTGAGATCTAGTTTTCCTGAGAAATATATGACTGCTACACCATGGAACCAGTCCCACGAATTGCAAATTTAAAACCCTTTGGGATTAAATCAACAGACTATTGTTTAGTAAACAGTGATAATAGTACTTGAGAGCCATTCTAGATCTGAAGCCAGGTTTATGTATGTATATAAAACTTAAATTTCTTATTCATCATAAATATTTTATTAATATTTTGATTCCATTTCTCATTTGACTAAAAACAAAGCATTGACAGTTTTTTTTAAACCAGTGTTTTTTTTTTTCCTGTATTAGAACTTATAGAACATATCATTATATCTCCACACACTAGGAGAACAAAATAACACATCTCTTGACAAGTAGGTTCAACCGCTACTGCACTGTACTTGGCAAAATGTTTATACTAGCCTAAGATGACATGTTCCTTGTTTCTACTGAATAATTTTCCTCTATACCACCCATTATACCTGTACTTCCTTACCTATATCAGACTCTACAACTTGATTTTCAATTTCATGAAATCAAGAAGCTCAGTTTTTGGACTACCACTATAGAATAGCATCTGGGGTAGAATAAATGTAAAATAATTTGGGAGAGGGGATAATGCAATTTTTGGAATGTATCTAACAGCTTATTTTAAAGGTGCAAGAATTTTGCAATTAGATTTAATACACGACTTTAAAATGCAATTACAGATTTCCTTTTTAATGTAACTTTTATTCTTGTTTCTGTTTCCTTGGACTTCTTTTTTTTTTTTTTTTAAAGTACTGTCTATTTCTAGGGGGTACAGTTTACAGAATGAAAAAAATTGTAGCTATAGGAAGTTAACCCTAACCCATTATTTCCCACACAAGCAGTCTTCCAGAAGGAAAGCCAAGCTTGCTCTAATCTCCACTTGAGACTCCACTTGAAAATGACTTGTAAAAAAAGGAAAAAAAAGTTTGGCTATCAGAAAACTGTCAATCTTCAGTCTTTCTGGAAAGTTCCTCAATACATTATCAATTGACGTAACTGTAATACACATTGACACACCTAAAACCAACAAGAACCAACAGATTGCCACAGCTTTCAGTCTTAAGCTTGCTGGAATGAGTTTGAACTGGCAAGCCAGAGATGTAAAAGGATACATCTTATAAAAAAAAAAACAACTATGGGCCGTCCAGTATTAATCACCATCTATTTTTCATCTTCTAGTTATTAATGCATGTGGTATTATATTGATAATAAAATTTGCATAAATTTTCATTTTGTGAAAGATTGTTGCCCTGTCATTTTATAAAAAGGCAATTGGATATTTTTCACACTGTCCCCATTAAAAAAGTTACAATAACTAAAATAAATGAATAAATAAAAATAGACTCCCTCACCTAGGTTTACAAAGCCAATGTCAACATACAGTTTGGCACATAATGATCCTAACAGGAAGCCAAAGATCGGTCCTATAATTGCAACCGTCTGCACACAACCTGCACCAAAAATAAATATATAAATAAATAAAACAAAGAAGAGAAAAAGCAGAAAATAAAAGCTGACACTGCTTTGCTTCAATAAATTAGTGAAATTTAAAACAAGAAATGTGAATGAGATTCAGTTAGAAGCTCAAAATGTTGCACCTCTTCACTGATGTATGTGTAATGTATCGTTTTTTTCAACTTGATTAAAAAACTCTTTTTTTTTTTTTTGCTTGGGAGAAGAACATTTTAAAAGCATTAATTACTTCTTAGTAAGAAAAGAAGACTAAGATTATGAAAAAGTTAATTTCCTAAAATGGAGCAAATTCTACTCCCTGGGATTTGATTCCTCACTGATTAAAAAAATGGAATTACTCTAATGTTGATAGTCTTCCAAAAACCTTTTCTGGTCAGTTAAGCATAAGATGTGTTGACATTAAAATTGATTTCTTCCACCTTAGCGTAAAAGTGCATGCCTTTACTCAGAGGTTCCATGGGATCGTCTGTGAAAACAGAACCTCTGCAGATCCCCAGGGCAGTTAGCAAAGGACCTAGACTCTGCAGCAAAGCAAATGCTCTGTGGCACACAGGAGCAGCCAGGGCAGCCTGGACCGGTAAGTGGAACAAACAAACAGACTGTCACCATTGCTAGTAACCAGAAAGGCAACGTGCTTGCCATCTGCACTTCATTTCACCAAGGAGCTTAAAACACACATATCCCTGGGAGAGTCTTTAAATGATCAGCCTGAATTTTTTTCAGGAGAGTCAACAGCAGTTACCAGACCATTTTCAGCATAGAAGAGAGCAGAGAGAGCTCCTAGAAAGGAAGGGAATCCTAGACACTTTCGATCTTCTCCTGGCAGCACGGTTTCCTCCTGTCCCTGGAGCAGTTGCCTAGTGCGTAGGATGCACCTTTAGTTCCAGGGCCAGCTCCTAATTTACACTGCAGTTTTCCATTAGAACCAGAGCTTTTTTCTTAATTATAGGCTGTCTGTCTATTACAAAAATACCCCAGGGCCTCAGGCAGGCTATACAGTAGTCCCAGCTGTGGTCCTCTTCCTCAATAAGTTTAAATTTTACCCTCCTGTCCCTGAAGGCAAGAAATTTAAAGATCAGAATTCCAAGAAAGCAAGACTGAAACATAGAGCAAGTCTTGGTCATCCACGTGTCTGTTTTCTAGCTTAATTCTAGGGCATAAGAAGACTCAATAGGGACCTGCAGTTGGCATAATGGCTATGTCGCTGGACTCCCATAGAGTGAACTGTGGTTTGAGTCCCAGACCCTGGGATTTAAACTCATGCTGGATGCATATGCCGTGTGTGCTGAAGATCCTGAGAAGAGAATGGAGGAGAAGGGATTGTGGAGTGGCCATCCTCCCTGGGGGGGGGGGGGGGGGTTTTTCCTTTTTGTTTCCCCGTTCTCTGTCTGTCTGGCGAGCCAAAAAGGGTTGTAAAAAAAACCCCCCAAAAAAAAAAAAAAAAAAAAAAGAATAAAATAAGAAGCACTCAATAAATGCTGCTGAGATGCATTTGACTGACCCTGGGAGTTTTCCTCTGCTATCATTTTGGGTTTTGGGATGAGCTGCTCATCTATCTACTGGGACCTCTTTTTGAGAAGTTCCTCCTTTCTTTTTTTTAATTAAAAAATTTTTACACCTTTTAAATTTACATTTTATCACCCTACATTTTTGTGATGGACAAAATGTTTTTTTTTTTTTCCAGCATGAATGCCATGCATATCGATCAAGTCAAAGATATTACCATATACATCAGCTTTATTCTTTTCCACTTCCTGGTGAGATCCCAGAATTTGTTGCCTATCCCTTATAAGATAAAATAATGGCTAAAATAATTAGGGCTTATAAAATAAAAAGTAGTTCCTATGGCCCTGGACACAATTAAAAATATATATGTACATAATACCCAAAAGCAGTATAGTTATCCCAATAAAAGAACCTATGAAATCTGAAGTCCATGGAATATTTCCACAAGGTCATAGACCTTGCAACTGAACTCACAGTTATGTTCCTTTAATCTGATATTCTATACCTAATGTAATAGGCCCTTCTAAGTGAGATGGCTTCATCATCTCTATCCTAAGTGGGCACTTCTGAAATGTGTGAGTTGAATAAAGACATTGAATAAAAAGTATAACATATTCCACACTCAATTTAGTGTAGGATGGCATTGTGAGAAACTCAGGCACTCTGCTCCCCAAGAAGATGAGTGAGATGGTGAGATGGCCATTACCAATATAGAAAGCTGCGTTGTCTTCACTGGCAAAATCATCCAGGTAGGCAATACCTAAAGGCTGAATGGGAGTTTCTCCTATTCCACGAAGAAGATTTCCCAGGAAAACATAAACCCACATAGAAGAGCTGGCATCAACCTCACATTCTTGAACGAAAAATAAACCAGAGGGTTGACATTAGATCATTATCAAAGTTATATAAATATAACTTAATTTTACATTTATACAATTTTCTTTTCTATAATTGAATTAGAATGCAAATGTGAAATTTGCAACAGTCATAATGAGGTAGGATTTGGGGCAAGATCGGGAAAAGATTTGTAATATCAATCTTTTAGGCCATGCGAATCCCCCAGAAACTTGACCAAGTAACTGTATCACTTCCTATTTCTGTTTCCTTTATTTCTTTTCTCTGTTCATTTTATTTCAAGCCTACACTGAGCTATTTAAACTCCTATACTTCAATATAATCAATATCCTATCTGGCACAAAATGGAAAATTTTGAGAAAGGTTTTCTCACCTTAATTTTGAGTCTTTTCTATTTTTCAAAAGAAATCGTAAGTAATTTTATTGTTGGCCAAGATTTATCTGAAATTCAAAATATTATATGGTTGCTACTCCAACATTGGACAGTATTGCCCACAGTTATATTTGTTTAACAGTGTATAATCATTCCTAGGACTCTGGAAACAAATTCATATAAAATGATAAACTCTTCGTGCTTTGGAAGGATAACTATTCTAAACAAAAAACTTTTTGATAGTATTGGTAAAACCAGTTTCAGGACTAACAATTTTTAAATGTTTTCACAAAAAAAATGTTATAATTAATTAGATGATGTAGGATAACTACTCCAAAATCATAAAAATAACCATACAGCTTTGAATAGTTTAGCCACTTTAATAAAAGTGTTAATATTAACAACCTCCAACAATGATCTTTTCTGAATGCTTCTGCCACACACTGGGCTAAGTGGTTTGCAGGCATTTTTAAATCAATCCTTCCAGCTATCCTACAGGGCAGAAATTCTTTTCACCTGCTAAGAAACCTGAATGTAATTGACTGTGAAATATAGATTACTGTAGAAGTGAGGTGAACACTTCAAGCAAGCAAACAGACTAACAGAAAAGACTCATCTCATGTTGGCTTTATCCTGATCCTACTTCTAGAAAAGTAGTCAAGTTGATCATAGAATTTTTACTCACCTCCTCTGAATTTCTATTCTGCTCTCTAAAATATGATGTAAAATCCATTCTTAAGAATGAACTCTAGTGTCCATTGTAGCCCTAACACATGGAATTCTAAGAAGTTGTTGGTAGGAGAGTCCTGAAGATAAATTAACATCCTAAATCTGTGCTATTTGATAGAGTAACCACAAGCCATAGGTGGCTGCTAAAATTTATTATTTAAAAACATTTTTAATTTAGACAGATTTTTACTACAGAATACTTGTGCTCACCAGAGAGAGAGAGACAGATACACAGAAAGTGACAAATCACCCCTCCCCCCCACACACAGGTGATGGCCACACCATTATCCCTTCTCCTCCATTCTTCTCTTGGGATTTTGGGCATACATGCACATATGCCTAGCATGAGTTTTAAGATACTAGGTCTGGGACTCCTTGGTCTACTATATGGAAGTCAGGTGATATAACCATTACACCATCTGCTGGTCCCAGTTGCTAAAATTTAAATAAAATAAAATTAAAGAAAACATGAATTTCCTTAGTCACACTACCTATATTTCAAATATATCAATGAATGATCACAGATACAATATATTTCCGTCATCATAGAAAATTCTGTGGACAGTGCTGCTCTAGAATATGGTAGGGGACTTGAGGGTCATACATGGACCATGTGTGAGAAGAAACCCGTGTTTAGTTTCACTGAAATTTTGTGGGTGAGTCTCCTGTCCACTCTGTCTAAGGAAAGCAGGACTTCAAGGGAGTGGATCTTAAATAAGAATGAAAAGAGTTAGGTCTTATGCTCTGGACTTGTCTGGTCTGGTAATTTTTCCATTTAACTGAAAAAAATTTAATCCCCTAACTCTAAATCCTGTTTCACTTTCTTATATTTAAGGTTTAAATATTTTATACCTACTTTTATTACCATTTATATCTTGTCTTTTCCCTGACTTTCAAAAACAAAATATCTTCGCTGACCATATGTTGTGTACAGATGAAACTCCAAACTCTTTAATTAGTTCCTTTCTTCTTCATGTGGGCCTAAATTAAATTTATTATTCATTATATTATTTTTTACTTAATTTTCCAGAAGGTGCATGTGCTTGCTGGAGAAAGATGGAGTGAAAAGGTGACGGAGAGAGCCTTCCTCAATGGGGCATGGTCACCCCACAGTCTCAGCCCACAATCATTTTCCTCCAGTTTTCCATCCTACCAGAATTTGAGCCAGTCATGCACATGCACCTAGCATGTTTTTTCAAGTCACTGGGTTCTAGATTTGAACCTACATTCAACCATGTGTGACCTGGGTCCCTTAACAACCAGGCCATGGAGCCAGCCCTATATTCGTACATAAATAAGCTCTTTGTTTCATGTATCGACTCATTTTTTCCACAATGTATCTGTTATCTCTTCTACATTCTCCTCTTCTCAAATACTTTTCTTCTTCCTTCATAAAGCAGAAGGTGAACATTTACATTTTTGTGTCTTCCTCCATTGCTTTCCTCCCCCCATATGTCCATATTTCTTGGAGCTCTTTAGCTCTTCCCTTCAATAACCAGACTAGTGTTCATTGCCTGGGAAAAGATATCTCAACACAAACTACTAGTGAGGATATTTGGGGAGTGAAAAGATTTATAGAACAGATAAAATAAGTGGATGGATAGCAAGTGTTTATAAGAAAGGTTTCCAGGTCAGCTAGTGGTGTAGCATTTAAGGTGGCTGGATGCCACATGGCCAACTGTCAGGTTCAAGTTCCAGATCCAGTGGCTTGAAAAATCTGCCAGGTGTGTGTGTGTGTGTGTGTGTGTGTGTGTGCACAGATGTCCCAAATCCCAAGAAAAGAATAAAGAATGGAGTGGAAGGGATTGAAGCCCCTGGGGGGGGGGGATTTTCCTTTCTCTCTCTCTCTCTCTCTCTCTCTCTCTCTCTCATGAATGCATGTGCCCTAGAACAATTTGTTTTTTAGGAGTAGAGCAGATTTTGAGGATGACAGGGATGGCTGGATGGCAGTGGTGGCAGGGTGTGAGTGTTAAGCATATTGTGCTGAAGGAGGAAGGAAAGGGGATTTTCTCTCACTGCCTCTACTGGGTCCTAGGGACATGGAAACACTTCTGGACAAATCTCTGAACTCTGAACAAGAAGAACCTGTGCCGCTCTGGCAAGATAAAACACAGGCAGGTGGCAAAACGCCAGACACTAAGTGCCTGCACAGTGTAGCTCAGCGTCCTTGTTTTGGGTTTCTCATAGGATTTCCAATGTCTAGAGTCACACAGAAGAAATGTCTTCCATATTCCCAAGAGTGCCTGAGACATAACGTTGCCACATCATATGCATAATCCATAAGGAATGCTTAGACATTCTGACAAAATTTGCTGTCTCCTAGCTCCTGTAGAAAGTGGAATAATTTTCATGTACCCAGCATTGTTATTTCTGTACTTAGGAGAGCCACTGTGCTAAAAAGGACAAGAACATGGACAAAAGACAACCCCTGGTGCCAAGTATAACCAATCACTGTGACCAGAGAGGATTGATACCACCATGAGCCGCCGATTCTGACCATGATGTAAGTTTTCTAGAATATAAGCAACTCCTGCTAAAAAGGGTGTAGCTTAGGGACAAATTGGGATTGAGTTTTTGCTATTCTGATAAAAAGAGACTAAACACAGAAATTAAACTGATCTATGGGGAAGATTGTAGTTCTCTCACGTCTGAGCAACGAACAGAGGTTTGTACTCGCTAAACTAGCTTTACTCTGCTTTCATGGACTGCCTTATTTGGAGACCCTGGAAGATTTTCCTAATCAACTGCAATTTCTGCTACTTCTTTCTATAAGATTTAATTGTATGTTTTCTTGTGATGTCATTATATACTGCTTTATATTCTAGAAATTTGATGGTATTATAGTATATTGATTTAAATATCAAAGCTTTCAAGTACAAAAATCTTATAGATGTTTTTTGGCCATATTCAAGCACATATAAGTTCTTTCTTAAAAGTCTTTTTATTTAAGTCAAGTAAAAATGAAAGCATCTTACCATGACTTATTTTGGATTGTGATTTTTTTTCCATAACTGAGATTGGTAACTGACTGCTTGACTCTAGGAGACACGGAGAGATGTTGAGAGTAGAATTGGAGAAAGGAGAATACCTCTCATACCTGTACCTGTATAAAAAGAATGTTTTCTTCACAACAGACTCATTAACCTCTTGCTAAAAATATTACACAATTCCTTAGGGACCTGGTTCAGTTTGGAGCTATCTCCAGATTTGAATCACCAAGTCAAGTCAGCATTTAAAGTAGTTTGCTAAAGATGTAACCAGAAGATTTGGTTCACAGGTTTTATTTCATATGTAGGCCAGCAAATTAGCCAGGGTATTGAAAGAAGATAAAACTAAGAATTTTTCTTAGAGGTGCATTTTATCAAAAAATACTGATAATTAATGACCTACTCCCTTGGCGAAAAAAAAAAAAAAAAAGAACCCAATTGCTAAAGATGTAACCAGAAGATTTGGTTCACAGGTTTTATTTCATATGTAGGCCAGCAAATTAGCCAGGGTATTGAAAGAAGATAAAACTAAGAATTTTTCTTAGAGGTGCATTTTATCAAAAAATACTGATAATTAATGACCTACTCCCTTGGCGAAAAAAAAAAAAAAAAGTACCCAACACTTTAATTAATTGCAATCAGAAAAAGGAGAAATGTGGTCTTTGGGTAAGACAAGGAAGAGAAGATTGCTTTAGACTTACTTCTCCATGAAGAACTGAGGCGTGGCAATAAGCAAGGTTCCAACTCCCATGATTAGACACCCTGCTCCAATTATTTTTGGCCTGTGAAGTTTGGCTCCAAAGTAGCTAACAAACGTTATAACTAAGAGGTTCCCTTTGGGGAAAAGAATAAAGCATTCCTAAGTTAGAGAATTTAGAGAAAATCCAACAGCATAACTGAATGAATAGATAGATGCACATAGCTGGTCTAGCAGTGATACATTTAGACTAACCCATCTCCCTACCATCCGTCCACCATTTACCTGTCCTTCCATTATCTGAAATTTCTTCATACTCACTGTTTCAATCACCTTATCCTTTTGTCAAAAATATTTTCATATCATCCTTTCTACCTTGTTTCATCCAATCTCATTTTTTGTCTTTTTAATGTATTTTCGTAAACCAAATTGTAGAAGACTTTTCTTTAGTTGTTCTCTTAAATTTTATTTTTTATTTAACTTTATTTGTTTGCTTATTTATTTTAATTTTACCAGAGAGGGAGGGAGAGAAAGAGAAAGAGAAAGAGAAAGAGAAAGAGAAAGAGAAAGAGAAAGAGAAAGAGAGAGAAAGAGGAGAGAGAGAATGAGAAAGCAAGCTGCCGCATCCAGGACTTGAACCATAATTGGCCATGTGGGAGTCCAGCACCACCTGCCAGCTCTCTTTAGTGATTTTTGAAACAAACTTTGTTTCTATTTCTTCAATCATTAAAGTTTTCTATTCAAACTTCTATTGGGGCCATCCAGAGGTATAGTGATTAAGGCAGCTAGATCCCATGTGGCTGACTGTGTAGTTTGAGTTCTGGACCCAGTAGCTTGAAAATCATGCCGGGCACATGTATGTGCATGTCTGAAATCCTGAAAGAAAGGAAAAAAGGCGGGGAAGAGATTGTCACATGACCATACACCATGGGGAGTGTTTCCTCACTTTTCCTCTCTCTCTCTTTCTTTCTCTGGCAAGTGCATATGTCCTCTGGCAAATTAAAAAAAAAAAATCACCAAAAACTTCTATTAGTTTCCCAGTTACTCTTGCTATATAGATTTCATATTCCAAGATTTCATTTTCTTTTTAGATGATAATCTCTATAGAAAAAGTAAGGCAAACACAACACTTAACTTTAAATGAAAGCAAATCAGGAAACTCTTATTACACAAGTGAAACTTGATAACTTGCTTACATATTTTATATGGAAAAACTCAAAATAGAAGAATTACTTCACACAGACAATATCAGGTGTACAAAAATTATATAATATGTATGTATCTATTGCATAAGTCTAATGAAATACAAAATCTCTGTTAAATATGCCCATCTATCTGTTTGTTGAAAAAAATAATTAAAGAATGTAAGTTTATTTTTTTTATAAAGATTTTTGCTACAGGACGTATGTGCTTGCTGGAGAGACAGAGAGCCAGAAAGTGAGAAATCACCCCCCAGAGGGGATGGCCACACTCCAATCTCTTCTTCATTCTCTCAGGATCCTGGACCCCCATGCACATGAACTTGGCATGCATTTCAAGCCGCCAAGTCCAGGACTTGAATCATAGGCAGCCATGTGGGAGGCTAGCACCTTAACCACTATACCACCTGCTGGCTCCAAGAATATGAGGTTTTTGTTTTATGTTGGTTTTTTTTTTGTTTGTTTGTTTGTTTTTTTTAGGTAATAATTGTGCCTTTCTAAAATGTCTTAAGTGAAGCATGTCATAAATCACTTAGTTAATCATGGTGATAACTGATTAAACATGCTTTAAAGAAGATTTCACATGCTTTGCTGTGCATAAAAATTACTAAAAGGGGTGGTAAGGGAAATGGAAACTCATTGAAAATGCATATTTTTGGCAGATCCTAACAATTTCTGATTCTATGGAACTGAGGGTGGGGTCGGGCATAGGCCAAGAGATCTGGATTTCTAATACTAGCTCAAGTGTGTTGTGTGTGTGGTTCCTGCCACATGCTTTAATAAACATTGTTTATGGTGTTAAAATTCAAGGGGCTTTAAAGTTTTAGCTGTTTTCACTTGGTATATCTTATTTTTAAATACTGCTGTGCTAGATAGGATAAGAAAGCAAAGATTCTCCAGCAATTGATTGTGATGGCTGACAGGGAGCCTTGCTTTGAAGTTTTCCTCAATGTTTCCAATTTTCTACCAAGAGTGTGTTTCCTGACATCTGTAAGCAATCATCGAATTTACTACTGTTCAGTCACACTGCCAACTTTAGTCAATTGGAAAAAGCCCAGTATTTTTTATAGCTTTGAGAATAATAATAATGACAGTAAGAAGAGTTGCTTGCACAATGGCTCTAGGCTTGATGGCTCAAGGAAGATTTAAGTTCATCTTAATGTTTGTATTCAAAAATTAATAATTAAGCATAAGCTTTTCCATATGATATTTAAATACTTAGTAGAAAAAAATCTGTATCATCTTATATTGATAATTATGTCTATATTTTTGTTAAAATGCCACAGTAAATAAAGTAAGGCAAAAGTGAAAGCTGACTTTTCTAAGTTTACATACAATCCTCTCCCACTCCCAACTACCCTCTACCAACCCGTCATAACAAAGGATTCGTATTTCCATTTCTGTTATATTAATGAATATGCTAAATACAAGATGATACCACTTCAGCATCTATGATATCTATAGAATTTTTCTTTCCTTTACTTAGTATTCTTCCTGAGTTCTCAGGAGATCTATTTGGAAAATAAATAGTGACAAATAATCTTTAAAAACTTGAATTGTGTGGGCTAGCCTGTGGCCTGGTGGTTCAGGCAGCTGATTCCCACATGGCCAAACTTTATAGTTCAAGTCTTGAACCTAGCAGCTTGAAAAAATATGCCAGTCACATTTCTGTATATGTCCCAAATCCTGAAAATACAGAGAAATGGAGAAAAAAGGACTGTTGCGTGACCGTTCCCCACGGAAGGTGCCATCTAGTTTTTTCTTGCCTTTTTTTCTCTTCTCTTTCTCTCCCTGTTTGTTTGGGACCAGCAGGTGGCATAGTGGTTAAGGTGCTGGACTACCACATGGCTAACTATGGTTTGAGTCCCAGATCTGGCAGCTTGAAACCACTGGGCATGTTTGCATGATGCCCAAAATTCTAAGAAGAGACTAGAGGAGAAAGGATTGTGGCATGGCCATTCCCATACCCCACCCCCAGGGGATTATTTCTCACTTTCTCTCTGATTCTTTGTCTCTCAGATGAACAAACACACTCTGTTCATAAAATACTATCAAAAACAAGACAAAACTGGGAACCAGCAGTTAGCGTAATGGCTATGTCGCTGGACTCCCACGTAGTCGACCGCAGTTCGTGTCCCGGACCCAGTGGCTTAAAACTCACACCGGGCGTGTGTGCGTGTGTGCCCAAGATCCTGAGAGGAGAATGGAGGAGAAGGGATTGCGGCGTGACCATCCCCCCTGGGGGGTGATTTTTCGCTTTCTGTCTCTATGTCTCTCTCTGTCTGGCGAGCGCACGTGCCCTACAGTGAAAATCTCTCAAAAAAAAAAAAAAAGCAAGACAAAACAAAACAAATAGGTTTGTTAGACTTTAAAGTAACAGGGCCTGGCCAATGTTCTAGTGGTTAGAGGAGCCAGAGCCTACTTAATTAAGCATGGTTCAAATTCCAGTCCTGGTGGCTTAAAAAACATGCTGAACACATGTGCATGTGTGTCAAAAACATTAACAAGATGGAGAAATGGAGAAGGGACTGCATCATGACCATGCTCCACTTTGTGTGTCAGTGTGTCCTTTCACTTCTCCCTCTTGGTGAATATACATAACCTCAGGCAAAAAAAGGAAAGCAACAGATTCTCTCTCTCTCTCTCCCTCACTCCTACATACACAAACACAAGTTCAGATCATGAAAAAGAAAAAAAGCCACTCTACTCATAAAACTAATGTACCTTTGAAACCAAAAATGAACAAGGACAATGGGAGACACTACAATTAAAGCTCAAGCTTAATTCTAAGGGTAGATGTAAAACTCTAATAAAATATTAATAAGTTGAATTCTGTATAAAACTAAACACATACTGATCAAATATAGTTTATTCCAGGAGCATAAGGGTACACAAAATAAAAAAAATCTACTAATTATTATATGATTGTTGAAAGAAGAACAATTTCATAGTTATCTTAAGAGATGTGCAAAAGCACTCAATAAAATTAACTACACACTTGTGATAAGAAAAAAAACATATGAAGAAACCAAATTTTAAAGTGTTATCAAAACCACACAACAGGCATATTGCTTAATAACAAAACTTTAAACGCATTTACTTAAGTTCTATGTGAGAGAAGGATGCTTATCATCACTGCTTCTATTCAGCACAGTACAGAGGTCAATGCAATAGGGCAAGAGCAGAACAGTAACAGAACTGAGAACTGGGAAGAAAGATATAGTCTTCTGTTTCAGACCATGTAGTTGTCTATTCAGAAAACTATGTAGTTTCCAGAGACACTCAATTGAAAAGTATGATTTCCATTTAGAGAGAAAATGACCAAAAAATGTGAAAGCCATAAAAAAAAAAGGCATGACTAAATGGAGAATTATATTATGGTTGGGAAGTTAAACTCAGAGATGAAAAAATTCACTATCACAAAATATTAGCTCTCTAAGCCATAAATTCTATGGACTTTTATTCAAACCCAAATAAGACATTTCAAGAAACCTATTCAAATACAGTTTTCCAAGAAAACTTTCAAGGGCAAAGTTGGAGATTTTCCTACCTGATAATAAAGCTGGTTATAAGACTATAATCATTAAAACAATCATAAATTTAGTCAGGGATAAACAGATTTATAAAACAAATTTTCAATGAAGTGGTAAATTAATATAAAGAGGGCCAGCAGGTGACATAATGGTTAAAGTTCTAGACTCCCACATGGCTGACTGTGGGTCAAGTTCTGAGCCCAGTGGCTTAAAAATCATGACAGCTGTGTGAATGGAGAAGAGACTGTGGTGTGGCCATTCCTCCCTGGGGGTTGATTTCTCAACTTTCCTTCTCATTGTGGCCCCCTATCTCTCTATGGTGAGTGCATGCGCCCTATGGCAAAAACCTCAAAAAAGTTATATATCTATACACACACACACAAACACACATACACACAAAGTATAATAATTTAAATAGTAGCATTATATATATATATAAATAAAATATTAATAAGTTGAATTCTGTATGAAAATAAACACATTTTGATCAAATATAGTTATAAAGAAGGCATCATAAAGAATTGGACCAGGCTGGCATCTATTCGTTTAGTGGTGATTAGACTGGTTGTAATAATATAAAGAAATTCCTACATCGAAGCATATTTTAAGTCTATTAAATGTTAAAATGTAAAAGGTGAAAAATATTTAGAAGAAAGTACCTAGAAAAATACAGGAAACAAAGAATTACTATCTGGAAAATAATTGGGAGGTCACTATATGGAAAACCTTTTGTATGGGTAATTTTCTGTCATTTCTGGGAAAAGTCTTGCTATAAAAAAATATTTTACTTGAGGGAGAAATTAGGTTTCCAGTATATAGGCATTAGATGAAAATACCAAAAGATGCCAAAGGATAAAGCACTTTGTGCTACACAATAGAATCATTGAGAGCTGAATATAGAGGTGATAATGAGTCCATAATCTTGGAAGAAAGGAATGGTGAAAGGGACAAGAGAGGTAAATTAAGATTATGTTTAAAAAACTCACTTGCCTAGAAATCTATGGACTACACATAACTAGAAAAAATGTGTGAGGCTTGAGATAAATGGTATCAATGGAAGTAAGAGAGCTTTAGCTTCATTTATTTATTTTGAAATTTTTGCTAGCAGGCATGTGTGCTTTCCAGAGAAAGAGAGAGAGAGAGAGAGAAAGAGAGAGAGAGAGAAGGAAAGTGAGAAAGAACTCCCCCATAGGAGATGGTCATACCATAATCCCTTCTCTATTCTCCTTTCAAGATTTTAGGCACATAGGCACACAGGCCCAGTGTGTTTTTCAAACCATTGGGTCCAGTACTCAAACTGCAGAGTCAGCGATGTGGGATCCAACCACTTCAACTACTATCCCACCTGCTATCCTCTTTAAGCTATTTTAAGGCATCTACCCTAATAAATAATTTTTATTCTTAAAATTATTTGAAAGAATTAATATGAATTTGGAATTAGGATTCTTTGCCACTTCCTCTGAAAACTAAGTATCCTGTATCAACTATAGATTTCCTTTCTTGAGTTGCATTAGTACCTGAAAATTAAGACAAATTTGAACCAGACCATTTCTAAATGTCTTTTGCTCTAAAATATAATAATCTAGAGTGAGAAATAAATCAAAATATCATTCAATATATAATGTTCTACCTACTCATGTCTGTTGCTTTCTGTAAATCTGCTTTATCCTGTCAATCTGCACTAGCTACCTCTTACTATTTCCTCTTGTGATATAGTATATCACCCTTCACCTCTCTCTTCATGACCTTTCATTCAGTTCAGAGTCATTGAGAGGGCAGGCATCAAGGAATAAATCAACTATCTGGGCCTATGCTAAGAGATTATGTAAGGGAGTGGTGTGACAGGATGACATCATCTGATGTAGAGCCTTTTTGACCACTGACTGACAGCATCAGCAGCCTCTGGGAGCTTAGCGCCTGCCTACAGAATCAGTATACTCATTTTAACAAGACCACTCAGTCATTTGTGTGAACATTAAAGCTGACTGACACTGAATTTGGCAATCTTATTTAGTAGGATGATAAAAGATGGATTTGGAAAGCAAAAGCCTGAAGGCAAAAGTTACCTGTGCACTGTTTTAATTCTTTCTGTGACATTTAAAGTAGGAACTAAAAGATACCGTTCAAACTAAAAGAGAAAGTTGACAAAGTACTGATAAATAGTCCCACAGTCTTCTGAGAATTTATCAGGTAAAGCTAAAATTGGAGCACTTAAGAGATTTTACTACAGAGTATATTTGAACCCCAATAAGTATTAGGACCATAGTGGGTACTATTTTGTTCACTTCAACAAAATTTAAAGCCTCTTAGTTTTATCAATCCAGGAAGCAGATTAACTGGGATTATACTATAAAATACTTTCAAAAAGGTGACTAAAATCACTTGATATCTTCAAGTTCTAAGAGGGCATCCATAATCAATTGCTAATGAAAGATACCTTAGGTTAAAATTTGTATTGCCTTCTCTGATTTAGTGTTCTTTATAGAATACTTTTTATTTACTTTTCAGGTCACTGGACAGTAAAATACTTTTATGATTTAACTTCTTAAATCATTGCAATACATTTTAATAAAGCCTACTTAGGTTCTTCTGAATTTTTATAGCTGAATCATAGGTCTCCTAGGATATGTAACTCTTTTGTAAAAATACTTCCCACATACTTATAACTCAAAATGCCAATCAGCTTCCCACTTTCTCTTCTAGGAAATTCTCTCACTCTTAATGGGAACTCTGAATTGTGTGAGTCACAATAGCAAACACCTTGTGCAGGAAATTTATTGTCGGTTTCTGTGAGAGAGCAAATTGCCTCTACTTAGTACAAGGTCATTGCGAATTCTGTCCAAGCAAGATATTGTGAATCAAATTTTGTCCAGACAAAAGAATGCAGAGAGGATGTTTTTGGCCATGACTAGAAGAGCTTACAAGTCGGAGATCTGCAATACCTACCAATTTCAAAACTACCATCAATAACTCCCACCAGTGAAGAAGGGATATCAAACCTTCTCTCTATTTGAGTGATGGTGCTCTTCAGATATCCTTCTGCCAATGCTTTGGCAAAGTAAACGAAAGACAAGGCACCCAAGAACACCTGGAAAATATGACAGATCACACTTAGTCAGACTTTGGCTTGACACCCAGTTGGAAACTTGAATAAATGGACAAACAAAAAATTAAACTAAGAACAATACATAACATTAATTTACTATCACTGAAAATGGAATTCAAGCACTATTACAGATTTCTTTCAGTGTCAAGCTCATGCAGATTTCCAAAAATTCAAATTCTCTGGGGATTAGAAATGTATAATTTTGATTTAATTTTCATTCAAAATGTGTGTTGAACTGTTTGTTTCCCTTCCTTCCCCCCTCAAAGGAGTGTTGCTTTAAAAGATTTATTGTATGGTGAGTGAAAGAAGGAAAGGAATGTGTGATAGGTTAAAAAAATAAACAAAACAACTGTAAGACAAACACTTGATGTCATAAACCAAGTCAAGGTCTTATGATTATGTATTTCACAGTCATGGTGCATGTGCCAGCAGGACACAGGGACTAAAAAAGGTGGAGGTGGTATTATTAATGTTCAAATTCATACTTGAATTCTTTCTGAATAAAAAACAGCTCTTTGAATCTGGCTTATATATTTTGCTAGGCATGGTTTTGTAGTAGAGTATGTATATGGCCAGTTAGTATTTCCATGAAAAAAATATGTAAGTATTTGTTGAATAAATATTTGGTATTAAAAAAGAAGAACAGGAGATTTCAAAAAAGAACAGGGAGTTTGAGTCTCACAGAGCACTATTTCCAATGCAACTCTGTTCCTTACTGTAAATGAATATCAAAACTTTCAGTTATAAAGCAGGAATAACACAGTTTTCACACAGATTAAAGGTTATACTTGAGCTTAGCATAATATCTGATAATGGCAGATGTTCAATAGATGCCAGTGTCTACTGTCTCTCTTCTGTTTAAGAGATACATTCAAATGATCCCAGGAAAGTAATTAACATACATGGTCATGCAGACCTTGCGTCATTGTCTGGCAAGATGTGGTTTTAGTAAATTACATCTAAGATCAGTTTTTTTTTTATTTTGTTAGTTATTTTATTTAATTTTATTTATTATTATTAATAATTTTTAAATTTGGCCAGAGAGAGAGAGAAAGGGAAAGTGAGAAAGCAAGCCACTAGGTCCTGGACTCAAACAACAGTTGGCCATGTGGGAGAGATCAGCACTTTAACCACCACACCACCTGCTGGCCCCAGTTTTATTATTATTTTTTTTTAAAAACAATTTTTAAGAGGAAAAAAATCCTCACTTCTAATTTCATTACATAGAGATATCTGGATAGAAAACCAAGAACACAACTCCACTTAATTCTTTGTTTCTTTACCTTTAGTTCACCGCAGCAAGTCTTTTTTTCCTCTGAGGAGGTACATTCTGCTTTAAAGGAAGATCTTCCAACAGGTTGCCCCGAATTTTTGCAGAATAGCTGGATATTTTTTTGGGATGAAGTGTCCATTATGACAAGTTCTTTGATTCTGATCTGTCAAAATCAATTTTAAAAATTACAGGAAGCCAATTAATTTAAATCTACACAATTTATTACATAAGGTTTTTATTTCACAGTAGAACACAATTCTACAGATATAATTTAAAGCGATGCTATGTTTCATTCTCATAGTAAGTTGGCAGAATTTTTCAATTAAAATCAGCTAGGATATTTGATGAACTAATCCTGCTATTGGAACTCTGTAGCCAGCATTCTTCCTCAGTCCCTCCAGTTTGAGCCTCATTACAGCAAATACATTTAAATGTTGCCGTTGGAATAAATAACAAGGCAGAATTTTCTTAACTTTGTGGTCTTGCCAGTTTAAACTAGAAGCAAGCCGGAAAGGAAGAAGAGGAATTCAACCATTTGAATATTGATTCACTAGAATCAAGTCTTTAAAGTTTTTAAATCTTTTTTTTTAGCATAATGAATAGAAAATGTTGGCACCCATCACAGATTCTTTTGTGATTCTTGCCATAGCCCACGTAAGACATGACAAAAAAGAAGAGGCCCTATTTATATAATTTTAGTTTGACATAGAAGAAAGTAGCAATACCTGTGCCTTGGGCTTAGAATTATCAATAATTCAAGCAAAAGTACACTCTCTGGTCAGCCTTAAAGGATGGCCTCCCTTCCTATGCATAATTTCCCACCCTACCCTGACTCTTTTGTCCTGACCAAACCCTAGGAAGGATCATATACTCTGAACCTATTCTTTCCCAGTTCACAGCAATATTTACGGATCTTGTGACCCTTCTTCAGGATTCTATACTGCTTAGATGCCTGCGACAAACTAATCCAGAAACTCAAAAAAATAAAATAACTTCTGCAGCTCTCTAATGATGACCCGCTGTGATTGTATGCTAATAGTGACACTTTATATCTTCTTTGCACTGAGGAGAGATATGACACTAGGAGTATTGTGATAGATAATTAGGCTTATTCTGCCTACATGTTTGTCATTCACACCTTATGAGGTGCCCTTTTCGTGTTTACCAAATTCTGGCCATCTGTCATGGTCTGCATTCATAGGTAATATCCCAAAGTGGAAAATCAAGTATCAATGGTACACTTTATTTTGAAAAATGAAGATAGCAAATGACCTGAGCAATTTTAAAGTTGAGTAGATCTTTTCAGGAAGTAGAAATTGAGGGAAGATAGTGTGGGGCAAGGGCCTGGTTTTTTAAAAAACTTATGATTATATTTATAAATTGTTTGATTTCATAAACATGCAGAACTTCAATTTTTAAAAAAATGGACAAAGAAAGGAAAAGTGAGTGGAACAGAAAAGCAAACAAAACTAAACAAAGAACTGATAATATTAATAAAGATTTTTAAAAGATATAAAATTGATATAAAAACATAAATGTTTAGGAATATAAAACAAAAATTATGCATGATATATAGAAACCATTTTAAAATCTTGACAAAATGAGTAGTTTTCCCTCAAATATGCATTACCTATATAGATACAAGCTAGAAGAGAAAAACAATGAAGGAAGACATTAACAAAAATCCTCTAATACTATCCCCTAGACAAATATACTAAGGTTGGATTATGTAATAGGAATGCTCTAACAAGGGATATCCTTCAAGGAAGCAGATGAGGGAAATGAATGACCATTGTCTCCATTTGAAACATTCAGATTAGTTTCCTATCAAAAGCTCATAAAGATAGCTCCAAAAAGAAATATTCTAAACAAGGTCATAGATTAAAAAACCCTAAATGAAATATTAGCACGTCCAAATTAACTAATATTCTATAATAAGATTATTCTAAAAAAAATGTAACAGTTAACTCATACTGGGAACTTTACTCACCTAAATGACTAAATGAAGAGTCAAAAGTAAAAGAAACATGTCGGTAGATACAAAACATCAGGTGATAAGACGCATCAACTATTTCTGATTTTAAAGAGACAAATTCAAAGAAACTAAGAATGTCAGAATGCTTCTTCACTAGTATCTGATACTAACAATCAACTTTATATATCATTGAATCACCAAGACTACTTTTCCAGGAAAATGTTTGCCAGGATAATGCGAAGGGGGTTGGGGAAGCGATGAGTTATACAGTGTTAAGTAGGTTTCTTTATAGACCAGATAGACTTCAAAATATGAAACAAATAATATTAAATTTACAGTTTGAAGTATAATCTTTTTCTGAGAATTAAACTATGTAATTTAAATTGGCCTACTCTGTTAGAAATTCACATATTGTATTATTTCCCATTAACCATAATATTGAAGCCAGCTACCAGAAAAATAAAAATAAATGGTTTAATTATAAAATATACTATCACTTATATTAAATCTGGAATACTAATGCTAAAGAAAATAATTATGTTGAAAATATTTAAAAACTTGAGACACTAAAGCATTTGAAGTCTTATATTTAGTGTTGATCCAAACATTTATTCTAACTGGAATCCAGAAATGATAATGAAAAAAGTAAGAAAGATAGTCATTCTCAGTTGAGGTTGTGTTAGGGCAAAATAATATCCAGCCTAAAACATTGATACTGCACAGCTTTACTGAAAGCCTAATTTCATCTTGGTGGCTAATATGCCTATCATTGCCAGGATAGCATGTTCCAAGGAGGCTACAGTTCACTCCCCACCCCCGAAAAGAAGGAAAAGAAATTCAATGTCATGAATGGCAAGATCCTCGGGCACACACGCTTTCTCTCTTCATTTGCAATGATAGAAACAGAACAAAAATACAGAGTTATTTAGCAGGATTTGCAATTGGCAAATCACAATTGATCTCTGGCTGCTTGAATAGATTCTTTCAGGAAACGATATGGCAAAGTTTTCATCCAATGGTCTAAATTAGAGTCTACCATTCTGGAGGCCAAAACAAAACCAACCAATGAGTTTTTCATTTTTAGTTTGAAAAAAAAAAAAAAAAAAAAAAACTGAATGTTCTGTTCACATGGGTTTGAAAAATCAATTTTCTACTCTTTAAATGTAGAGTGCAGATGGCTCAGGAAGGTCATACTTGGATGACTCAGATGCATTCAACTATGTGCTCTAAAACAATGACCTAGACTCTACTTCACAGCCAGCCTCATTGACTGCCAAAGAGAAAGACATCCAGGCAGCCACTTCCATTCTGCTCTTGCCTTAGAAGTCTTGCATAAGGAAAACCTCTGGACTCAGGCTTCTGGAAGCCAGGATCCCTCCCTCCACACAGTTTCAAATGTAACCTCATGGTACTTGCTGAGGAGTGGTGTGTGCTGTTTAACAAGTTGGTTACTTTGTAAAAATAATTATTTGTGTCAGCTTCAGATTTGATAAGTACTGCTTTGTGCCATGTGATATATGTACTTTTTCTTGTTATTGAAACAACCCAACAATTTTAGCAGTATAATTCCCATTGTTAAAATGATATGGCTCAGAGCAGTTACAGTGACTTGTCAAAAGCTACCCAACTAATAATGACCAAAATTTGAACCCTGCGTTAACCTGACTTCTTTTGCCAGTCTCTTCTCCTATTTTCACCAAATTAACCAGGAGCCCATCAATTTCATTGAGAAATCTAGTGGACAAAATATGGTAGAGCAGAAATGAAGGGATTTCTCTCCTGTGAGAATCTGATGTCACAATTTAGAAACGAAGAGAAGCAAATCTTACCTGGAGAAGGAGATAAAAGCCAGCCGGTTACTCTCAGTGTGCTCTGCAAGAGGCTGGACCACACGCCACAGACTGAAAGAAGAAACTGAGGTAAATTCCACAGCAATTTTGAGCAGTTTTGCCAGGTGAGGAGAGCCTGGATGGACACAAATAGAGCAGATGAGGAGAAAGAAAAGACGAAGGGCATGGTCTCACCCCTGGGCAATCTCGTCTTGTTCCTCCTTCCTCCTGGCCTCTTTTTTCTGGCAGTCTGCAGAGAATTGGCCACGCTGGCAAGGCCACTGACGTGCATCTCAGCTCCCAGGGCACAGAAAGAGCTGAAGCCTTTGAGCCATTTCTTTGCAATTTGCTGCAAGTTTAAGGCCACACGTGATAAAGCTTTCTTTATGGGAGAAAGTGGAAAAAGAAAAGACCACTTGTGATCTTACTTGCTGATTCCCAGAAAACACAACTCTGCAGGAGGCAGAGGGTAAAGGAACAGAAGCCAGAGGACTGACGGAAGTTTGTAACAAAGATCCCTCCTTCTCCTTCCAAGTTTTTAAGCCAGCCATTCCTTAGGGACATCCCCAAGATCCTTGTGTTTTGTTTGTTTGTTTGTTTTTGGTTTGGTTTGTTTTTGTTTTTTTTTAAAAAGCTCTTGAACTAAATCACTGAATGGTTTCCTTTCCCATTGGGAGTCTAGAATTTGCAGGGACCACAGATGAGATCAGGATAAAATCTGAAGAGCTCCCTCTAGAAAGAGTTAATTCTCATAGCTCATATTCATAATGTCTATGAGTTTTGAAAATGGAAAAAAAGAAAAAAATACATAGAGTTTTGCAATTCAATTGTTTATCCTACTTAATTCCAAAGGAGAACACTTTGCACTGAACAGTTGTACAAATCTAATAAATTCTTGTCCCAAGAGTACGATTTTAGAGGATTTTGAGCAGTATAAATTAGCACTTGGTTTCTACCAATACATGAATTTGCTATGAAAACTTATCCACGATTTGCCCTACTCTTAAATGGCTGTGACTCTGGGTTAGTCACTTAATTTTACTGAGTCTAAACTTCTTCCACTATAAAGCAGAATTTTTTTATATAGATTTACAGGGTTGTTTTAAGGCTTAATTTATATTGTATATTCAAAAGCACATTACAAAGTGCTAAATGACTAGAAGATACCATCATTATGTATATCGTTTTAGCTCACATAATGATCAGAATGATAAGTCAATATTATTATAAGCACAGTTTACTACAAAAGAAATAAAAAGGTTGTTAGAAAAATAGGATTTCACTTAAACCCTACAAAAGAACAAATATTTTATTTTGGCAACTGAATGAACCTTGGCCATCAGAAAGAATGACCACATGACTTATAAGTGCTAGACTTTTCAACAGGTGGTCATGGCTATATTAAAGAGAAATAGCATTTACCAGTCAAGATCACAAAAGGCCTTTCCTTACCAAGAAATGCAATTTTTCCCTGAGACTATAATTTGGTCTATTCACAACTTGCTCAAATTGACTCTCTAATGTGATTTCTTTTCTTACGTCTGCAGCCCACAGTTAATGAATTAATTATCTTCATCAATCTTCCAGATTTCTTTCCCCATTCTCATCATCTAGCTGGCATTGTTGAGGAAATCCACTGGTGAAAGAGGACAAGAAATTGGGAGAAATATCCACAACCTGCCATCACCACACCTCCTCTCCACCTACCTGTATATGCCTATCTTCTGTCTGCCTGGATGACCAGTCCCTGCTAATAAGCTCATGCTTTAGTCTCTACTCCTTCTCTAACACTCTTCACCAGTTCTTTACCAATTCAAAACACTTTTTGCTTCCACTCGCCATTATTTTCATCAATAACCTTAATTGACATTCACAATTGACATTCATAAATCCAGCAATTTCAAGACCTCATTTTAATTGTCCCTCTAGCACAAGTGCATCCCATTGACTATGTCCTTCACTTGGATTCATTTTCTTCCCTTATTTGCAGGATACCACACTCTCTTGGTTTTCCTCCTACTTCAGTGGTCATTTGCGCTTAGTCCTAATTGGTGGAACACCCCACAATTCAGTTCTTGGAATATCTGCTTTGTTCTTACTTTACTTACTCCCTTAATAACCTCATCAGTCTTGTGGCTTTAGATATCATCTATAATAGAAAGTCAATGGTCTAAGGAAAATTTTGTAGGAAAACTTTTAATTTTAAGAGTTTTTCAGTCTGAGGACCAGCAGATGATGTAATGGTCAAGTCACTGGATGCCTACATAGTTGACCGCCTGTTTGAGTCCAGACCCTGAGACTTAAAACTCACACTGAGCGTGTGAGCATGCCGAAAATACCAAGAGGAAAAGGGATTGCAGTGTGGTCATCCCCCTGGGGGGATGATTTCTCACTCTCTGTCTCTGTCTCTCTAGTAAGTGCACATGTCCTATAGCAAAAAAAATCTCTCTCAAAAAAAAAAAGAAATTTTTAATCTGAAAAAAAGGAATCTATATGTCCTTATTCCTATCTATCACCTACCATCTCCTAGCTCTCTCCACTGGAAAGGTCTAGAAATAATAACTGACAAGGAACAATAAGTACAACCAGCACTGAGCTGAGAGTTATAAATACCACGAATGAAGGAAATGTGATTGATAACCAGTCTTTGGATGTAAGATGGGGCTGGAATATCTTGTCATAGATATTCACTTAAGCAAGGAGGTCTTAAAGACTAGATTGTGCTGAGAGCAAACCTAAGCAAGCCCCTGCTCATCAACATAGGAAAATGTGTGCATCGATAAGAATAACAACTACAAAATTTGAAATATATACATTTATAATAATAAAAATATTATATGGTCACTTTGGATGGTTCTAAGTAATGACTTCAATATATTTAAAGCTGGTCATACTTAAGGGGGAAATCACACATTTATCCTGTTTTTCAATAGGTACACTGGAGTTATTAAATCATAAAGACACATTTCTCTTTATAAAAATGTAAAGTTAGTAAACAATAGGAAATGAGAAAATTAGAATATCATAATTTTCTTTCTTTTTCTTTCTTTTTTTTTTTTTCTTGCCGGAAGGTGTGTGCCTTGCGAGGAAGGAAGAGAAAGAGAGAGAGAGGGAGAGTGACATAGGGAGAGAGCACCCATAGCAGGGTGTGTTCACACCTTAATCCTTTCTCTTCCATTTTTCCATCCTGTGGGGGTTCGGGGCACACAAGTGCATTATTTTCAAGGCACCATGCCTGGAGGAATTCAAACTGGTTATGTGGGATCTGGATCCCTTAACCACTAGGCCATGGGACTGTCCCTGAATATCCTAATTTTCAAACCCGAAATGAATTAGTACATTCATGTAGTGGTCATCAAAGTCTAATGTCACACACAAAAAAGGGAGCAACTATGTTTAAAACCTTGATAGAAGTTAACAGCTCAAAATCTACCTTTGAAATAGTCCTTGTTCCTACTTCTGAACAAAACAAATCTTATCAAACCTCAGATTAGGGACATCCTGTGGTGCCTTGGTTAATGTCAGCTGGATCCCACATGGCCGACTGTACAGTTCAAGTCCCAGAGCTGGTGGCTTGAAAAATACACTGGACCATGTCCCAAATCTTGTCAGGGGAGAGAGAGAGGAGAAGATGTTGAGGTATGAACTCACCTCAGTTACATCTAAATATCAGTTCATAATAAATAAAGAGGAGGGACCACCAGATGGCATAATAGTTATGTCACAGGACTCACATAAAGTCGACTGTAGTTCAAGTCCCAGGCCTGGCAGTTTAAAATTCACACCAGTTGCACGTAAATGCATGCACAAAATCCCGAGAGGAGACTGGAGGAGAAGAGATTGCAGCATGGCCAATGCCTCTTGGGGAGTGATTTCTCACTTTCTGTCTCTCGCTGTTTCTCTGGTGAGTGGATGTGCCCTACAGAAAGAAAAAAAAAGAAAAAGAAAATTATTCCAAGGGTCAATATTCGAACAGAACCAGCAAAATTCAAATAAGAAAATCTCATCAGGACAAACAATCCAGTTTTTTCTCCCAACCAAAAAGTCCAATGAAATAATGAAGTCAGTGCAGAAATTGTACATTAAACTTAAGAAAAGAATTGGGATGCCCCCATAGCCTAGTGGCTGAGTGAACTAGATTCCATATGGCCCATATGGCTCACTGTAGTTTAAATTTCAGCCCGGGTGCCTTGAAAAATATGCAGGGTGACTGTGCATGCGTGCCCAAAACCTCAACAGGATGACAATACAGAAGAGAAGGGAGTGTGGCATGACCACACCCCCTTTTCTCCCTCTCTCCCTTTCTGTTTCTCTGTCTTCCTCTGGCAAGCTCACATGCACTCTGCAAATAAAAAAAAAAAATAATTAAGAACTGAATTGACCAATAACAATGTTCTGGATCTTGTTTATTCCCTGTAATAAAAAAGCAATGACCTATAAGAAGAAGATTTTGTAATCTTCTAAAAAGATTTATAACCTCAGAAATGAGAACACTACGTGAACATTTCCTATATGAGGAATTTGTGAGATTATTTTTAGAGATGACAATGGTGTTGCTATTGTTCAAGGGCAAAAAATGTTTAGAGGCAAATACTTCACAATTTTTTAAAACAAATTATTTACAAACGAAAGGATATGTTATGTCAGATATTTTCAAAATAATTTGGGGAAGAAATGTTAGACATTTGGAGATATATATGGAACAGATTGGGCCTATTGTAACTATTATTATTATTATTTTGGAGAGGTTTCTGCTATAGGTCATGTGTGCTTGCCAGAAAGAGAGAGACAGAAAACGAGAAATCACCCCCAGGGGGTATGGCCACACCACAATCCCTTCTCCTCCATTCTCCTCTTGGGATCTCGGGTACTCACACACATGCCTGGCATGAGTTTAAGCCATCAGGTCCGGGACTCAAACCGCAGTCGACTACATGGGAGTCCAGCGACACAGCCATTATGCCAACTGCTGGTCCCAAGGGCCTATAGTAATTAATTGTTTGAATGCTGTCATGGGTTCATAGTGTTGACTATACTATTTTTCTATAGTATAAAGATATTTGAACATTTCCATAATTGAGTTTTAAATAAATGATAAATAGGTAGATTAAAAACTGTTAGTGAAAGAATCTGCATTCCTCCTTATAATTGGCTACAAAACCACAGTGATATATATAACCTTTGTTTTCCATGATCCAATCCTTGTCATCCTTGTCATCAGTCAGCACTGCTATAGGTTAAGACTTCACTGATGGGATGACTCCAAATTTCATTCTTGCAGGGTCAGATCCCTTAGTGGTCCTCCTTTTAAT